TCCTCATCTCCTCCTCCTGATCCTCGTCCTCCTCCTCCTTCTCCTCCTCCGTAGCCATTTTGGCTCAAGGCTTTGAGTTCCACAGTGGAACAAGTGGATACCGCTAGTCCGCGGCAGTGCCAGAGCGCTTGCGCTCGACAATCTTTCTTTCAGCCAGTACCGCAGGGGCTTCTGGCGGCCCAACGGCACCTGGTGCTCGGTACCCCCCTTCCGCGCTGTGAGCTCCTGTCGGAGCGTGCATGCCATGCCGTGGACGTGGACTACTGCTGAGCGTACCCCTCCCTGGCGAGCGCAAGGTGATCAGCAGCGCCGTGATGCTGGTCGCCGTGGCCACAAGCGTCGCCGTGATGGTGATGCCTCACCCTACGCTGTCTGCAGCAAGTGCGGGCACTGGGAGTACCTCTACCATGGTCACGCTGCGTGCAGCCGGTGCAGCGGATCGTATGTCATGCGCAATAAGACTACGGGTGAGTCGAGTGCGGCGGTCGACTCACAGTGTCCTCTCGACCTGTCAGGACAAGCTAGTGCTGCGGTCGCTCAATTTCCTGGCCTACGTGATGTGCTTGCGAACCACCTGCCGCCTCCACCACCGCCGAACGTCCCGTCCGATGCGCAGCTGGACGCAGCGGTGGCTGGAGAGCGGACTGCCTTGGCGAAGGGAGTGGAGGAGGCTGCCAAGGCTGAGCGCTTGGCCTGGCAGAGTCGCTCTGAGCGTCAGGAGGCTTTGCTCAAGGCCCGTGAGAAGGTCAAGCAGGCCGAGGCTGCCTTTGCCGAAGCCTCATCGCACCTTGAGGAAGCCCAGTCCGCCCACACCGTCGCCAAGGAAAAGAAGGACAGGTTTGACGAGGCCGCGTTCAAGAAGCAGAAGATGGAGGCTGCGGCGGCCGCTCAAGCTGCTGCGCGGCCCCCCCCCCGCTGGTGCAGACGGCCCACCTGGTGGAGAACCTGGAGGCGCTCATGGCGTTTCTGGAGCAGGCCCTGCACCTGAAGATGCCCGTGAAGTAATTGGTAAACTACATACCCTGGGAGATGATGACCTTCGGAAGCTCGCCGACAGCACCAAGGTCCCCTTCAGCGAGTGGTGCAACCTGCGCACCGCCCAGCTTGCCGCGCACAACGTCCTCAGTTCGGTCTCTCCTGGCTCCTCGGCGTCTGCGTCGTCTGCCCCTGGTGAGGCTGGCACTGACGAGGGTGCAGATGCTGCTATGGGCGGTGCGAGTGGCGAGGATGGTGGCGAACATAAGGCTGTTCCTGTCGATGCTGATGACGATCTTCTTGGTGAGGCTGATCGGCAGGAGCTTTCTGAGCTTCGCAAGCGTTCTGCGGAGCAATGTAAGCCTGAGGACCTCGAGAGGTTGGAGACCCTCCTGGTCGAAAAAATTCATGCGCAGGCGCATAAGAAGCTCAAGGTGGCTACTTATGCTAATGATATGTGGGTCAACGCTTTTGCCCACCTGGCAGCCCCCCAAGTTGTGCAAGGCGCGTCGTTGGTTTGACGAGTCCCTGGGGCAGCGATGGCAGAGGGTCGACGTGCGTTCGACTATCGATGTCAAGTTCTGCAACGTTTCCAGCTGGTCTGAACTGGCCAAGTCTGAACTTGCCAGAGCTGTTGAGGATGTCGACGTTTACCTCTTTGCCGAGCACCATCAGGGACCCGACAAGCTACAGGCCGCCAAGAGAGACTGCTCATCTATGGGATGGCGCCCGCACTTCCAAGCAGCCCTTCCCTCGCCTGGCGGAGGATGGCATGGTGGTGTCGGCGCTGTCGTGCAGAAGGCGGTCTACTGCAAGAAATTCCTACGTAGTCTCCCCGCTGGGGTCGAGAACGTGGGCCAGGGGCAGAGTTGGTTTTTCCTGGAAATGAAGACGCAGCATTGTACGCTCGCTCTGGGAGTTATCTATCTCGTCTCTGGGATTGGAGCTTCAGGTATGAACCTCGACCGTCTCCATGAAGTGGTTGAGTCCCTGGGGATGCTTGAGTGCCCGTGGATCCTCTTGGGAGATTTCAACATGGAGCCCCTCGAGTTGCACCAGTGTGGATTCTGTGAGGTTGTCTCTGGCGTCACGGTGGACCCCCGCAATACTGACTTTACCTGTGACAAAGGCACTGGCCGCCTGATCGATTATGCTGTCGTTTCGCGGGACATCCGCCCATACCTGACGATTGATGCGGATTGGAGCTCCGCTTTTAAGACACACGCCTGCTTGCATGTCCAGATGTCGCTCGAGGTTCTCCGTGACACCGTGATGAAACGAGATCGACCTGTCCCAATCGGGGCCCACCCTAGACCTGATCAGCGTTGGAGTGATTTTGTCCACCGTGCTGGTGACCAAGTTGTGGAGATACCTCGCGAAGTCCGTGGAGCTTTTCTCAAGTTTCACTGGCCCCTACACTCGCAAGGACTCTCGGAATCCTATCAAAAGTGGTCTACTGCTGCGGAAATGCTGCTTTGCTCCCGCCCCCTCTCCACCTGGCCGTCGCCGGGAGGGCGCAGGGGCAGAGCAGTAGTTGTGCAGGAGCGGACCCTTCCCAAACGAGGAGTGATGAAACAAGGTTTTTCCCACCCCTGCCTGGCTTTTTGGACGCTGATATCGTCCCGCCTGTACGATTTTGCTGTCGCCTTGAAGAGAGGAGGCACCACCCAGGTCACCGCTCTCAGGACTCTCCTCCGAGCGCGCGGTGATGAGGTGGGTCTACACCTTGAAGGCCTTGCCGATGCACGGCAAGCTGCTGTATGGACAGGGTGGTTGCAAGACATCCCAGGCGACCCTCGGAAGCTTGAAGTCATCCAAGGAGCTCTCGTCCCCGTCCTTCGTCGCGCGTGGACTGCGGCTCGGAAAGCTAATCGCCTCGGTATCCAGGCCTGGCTCGCTAAGGGACTCGCGGGGGGAGCGAAAGTGGTGCACCGTTGGTTACGTTCTGATGCCAAAAAGGAGGTTGAGATGTTTGTTACTCCCACTTTCGTTGCCCAAACCCCCCAAGAGCTGATGAGATATCGCGAGCAGTTTTGGGCGTCCTGGTGGACGCCGACGAGTAGGCAAGCCGGTGATCTTGAGTACGCTATGCAGCGCCTCAGACCTGTCGCTGAGCTGGAGGCGCTTGAGGCTCGCGGCATTGAGGGCCAAGACGTGCTCTCGGCTTGCAAGTGTTTCTCGGCCGACACGGCCCTCGGCGTTGACGGGTGGTCCCCTCGTGATTTGATGCGGCTTCCTGGTGAAGCCCTGGATCACTTGGCCACCATTTTTAATGGCATCGAGTATGCCCTTGAGTTCCCCCAGCAGGTCTATCTTTGTCTGGTCACCCTCCTGCCCAAAACGTCGACGTCTGAAAGACCCATCACTAAGTGCCCCACCCTCTACCGACTGTATACCCGAATCCGAGGGGACAAAATCCAGGACTGGACCGATTCCCACGTCGCCTTCTGGGATGCGGCTGTGAAGAAATCGTCGGCCTTGCGTGCCGCCATGCTCCGTGAAGTTTTGCACGAGCGTGCTCGGGTGGAGGGTTTTTTTTCTGTTTCTGGCCACTGAGATATGGAGAAGTTTTTTGACACCATCGACCCAAGTAAGCTCATCGGCTTGGCTCAGGCTGTCGACTACTCCTCCTTGCTCCTCTACCTGGGCCTCCTGATCCACACCTCCCCCAGGCTCCTCGAGGTCCAGTCCCTGGTGTCGGGTGTTATGCAGGCAGGCCAGTCCATTTAGCTGGATGTTCCCAGTCCCTGCCATGGATCAAATGTTATCTCTATGACATCTTGGAGGCGGCACATTGTCGTGTCCCTCGAGTCCCGATTTCGGCGTATGTGGACGACCTTACCCAGTGCATCCAAGGCTCCGCGCAGGACATCATTACCAAACTGGTGCCAGCTGCGCGAGAACTTTGTGATGTATTGAAACGTCGTGGGTGTAAGATCTCGTCGAAGTCGTGCGTCGTCGCCTCTTCTCGGCAAGTTGGTCGCCCTTTTCAGGCTCTCTGTGATGAGCTGAACGTTCCGCTTAAAGTTGTTGGTTCTGTGAAGGACTTGGGAGTTGGGACCACGGCTGGGAGGAGGAGGACGATGTGGAAAATGACTCAGCGCAAGGAAGAAGCTAGGCTTCGCAGTAAGAGGCTCACGTTCCTGTCCCATGTTAATCGTCGTGCTCGCAAGTTGTTTAAGCCAGGTGTGGTTGCAGTTGGCACATGGAGCCATCAAGTCCTTGGCACCCCGCCCTCGCGCATGCGTTCACTTCGTGCCCAGGCAGCTAAAGCGACAGGGCGATGGCATGCTGGCTGTTGTACCACTACCCTCCTTGCTCTTGATCATGCTATGTCTGATGACCCAGCGTATAAGATTCGCTATGAACATCTTTTGGAATGGAGCCGAACTTACCGTGTCCTCGACCCTAGCCAGGCCTGTAGCGTGAACAAAGTATGGCCCAAATTGTTAGCTAAGCTGCGAAGTGTTCCACCTGTTCACCGTTGGCGTCATGTGCGGGGCCCCATAGCGTCTGTCATCATGTGTATCTTGGAGCTCAATGGGAACCCTCTGGAGCCCTGTACGTGGAGATTCCCTGGTGTTACCCTCCATGTTGATCGACGTGATTTTCCGTATTTTTTGTGGAAGACGGTTGAAAAACAAGTGGGCAGTATGCTTTGGGTCCAAGCCTCTGAGGCTTACGGGGGACAGGGTCTGCATGAAGGTGTTGATTTTACCGTGCTGCGCAAGCTGCGGAGATCGCTCTCTCGGCAAGGCGATTTCGACGGTGTTGCTATTTTGAATCACCTCGCCTCTGGCGGCCAGTGGCCAGAGCAGCGCCTCAAGGACAGCGGCTATCTCAGCAATGGTGTATGCCCTCGTTGTGGAGTTCGCCAGGAAACACCTTGGCACAGATACTGGGGCTGTCAAGATAATGCGAACATTGATGATGACCACATACACCTCACTAACCATATGTATCAAGATTCCCTCGCCGGAGTGCCTGAATCGGAGTGTTTCTGGACTCGTGGGCTGGTTCCCCTAGGCTGGACGGTTGGTGTGTTGCCTCCCGTGGAAACTAAAGTTTGGGCTTGGGGATCTTTTCTTGAGGCGCTTCGTGAAGGTGCTCTGATTCATGGGGGGATATTCGGGAGCGACGCTTCTGGAGGAGATCATACGAAGGATTGGAGGTTGAGGAGATGCGGGTGGTCTGTTGTTCACCTTCAACCAGGGACCCTTCAGGTGGCTGGCGTGTTGTGTGGAACCCTTCCTGGTGTTGAGCAAAGCTCTCCCCGTGCGGAACTATATGCCGTAATCCAGCTGTTGCGATTAGTTGTCGGAGACACGGTGCTGTACACCGACTTTCTGCCAATTGCACGCGCGTTTGCTCGGAAGGATGTTGAAGTTGATCATTCGTGCATGCTGGACCTGTGGCAGCAGGTCTGGGACCAGCTTGGCGACAGAGATGGCCAGCTGGAGGTCCACTGGTGCAAGAGCCACCCCACCTTCAAGCAGGTTTCCGCCCACCGCCTGACCCCCCAGGGATTAGTCGCCAATGGCGTTGCCGATCACTTTGCGGGGGAAGCTGCCAAGTGGGGGGCCCTCCCTGCTGAGAAGGTCAGGGAAATTTCTAATGTAGATGAAAATTGTTTACGTGTTGTTAAACGACTCCTCGCTGTCTCCAGGCACGTTTCGCTCATGTGCCCGAGGACTCGCGAGGATCGTCTAGGTAGGGAGCACCACAAAGAGCGAGGACCCTGTTCGAGCAACCTCCGCAGAGCGAGATTGCGTGAGCAGGGCCATGATGTGTGTAAAGTAGCTGGATCCTTTAAGTGCTCTCGGTGTCTCTGTAGATTTCCTGCTGTCCGAGGGGAGCTGGCCAAATTCTGGCCTGGCCAGTGTCCTGGTGCGCTGGTGTTGGGGTCCTCGTCGTCTGGCAGGTTGGACCCTTCGACTTCCACTGGCCCCGCGTCCCAGGGCAACCCGAACGGACATCCATGTTTCCCGCGTGCGCACCCGACGCACGTCCTGGCTGAATTCAAAGGAATATTGTACTGAAGTAGGCGCCCGCCAGGTAGAACTGAGGGCAGCTGTAGTACCTTGGCAAGTCATCTCCATCCCCGAAACCCTTTACTAGGCCCCACTCCTTAGATCACTTGTACGGGCTGCCTCGGGCACAGCAAGTGAAGAGGCAAGCTGTAGGAAAACAGAAAAGATGGCGCCAGGTGACTACCAGAGACAAGGCTGGCCTGTTAGGCTGGCCTGTGAGGTGAAGTGTGGGGGGGCTGCGAACAGGCTGGGTTACAGTAGTACTACAAGAAACTGAGAAGTGGGCAATGTGAGCACAGAGCTGCCATGCATTGTCTATTGTAGAGTGGCTGAGAGGTCAAAGTGCCAAAGTGCAGAGAGTTGCGAGGTAGCCAATTACGGTAAAAGCTGCGCGCTGCTAGCAACATGTGGCTCCTTGGGTGGTGCAGGGTCCCTTAGTTGAGAGGGCCTGCACACAGAGACCCAAGGGGGGTAGCCGTATGCACTCCCGTCCCAACAACCCGTAGCAAGTCACCCCGCCCAATACCAACCAAGGGTCAGAGTCAAGCAAGTCAGGCTGAGAGGCAGGCCATGCGCACAGAGCTGCCAGGTAGCGACAGGACGGTAAGAACTGCGCAGTGCTGGCAATATGTGGCTCCTTGGGTGGTGCAAGTTCCTTAGGCATGCACAAAAAATGGCGTCGGGCGACTACCGAAGGCAAGACTGGCCTGTAAGGCTGGCCTGTGCGGTGTAAGTGGGATGGCTTGCAAACAGGCTGGGCTACAGTACGACGAAATGTGGCTGAGAAGTGGGCCATGTGAGCCAGAGCTGCTATACATTACCTGGTGTAGAAGAGAAGAGGCTGAGAGGTAAGCATCGTTCACAGAGTTGCGAGGTAGCAACAGGACAGTATAGATTGCACGCCGCTCGCAACATGTGGCTCTTTGGGTGGTGCAGAGTCCCTGAGTAGGGAAACCCTATACACAGAGACAAACAGTGGGTAGACGTACGCGCTCCCGTCCCACCCAAGTACCTACTCCTCCTCCTCCTCCTCCTCCTCCTCCTCCTCCTCCTGCTCCTCCTCCTACTCCTCCGATTCCTTCTCCTCTTCCTCTCCTCCTCCTCGTTTTCCTCCTCGTCCTCCTCGTCCTCATCCTCCTCATCCTTTTCCTCCTCTTCCGCCTCCTCCCCGTGCTCCTCCTCGTCGTCCTCCTCCTCCTCCTCCTCATCCACCCCCACGGGATGCTGAAGACGCTCGGCCACGGCGCCTCGGTGCTCTGATCGGTTCCGGTGCATGCCTCGCGGGCGCGAGGGCGAATGGGGCGTCGCTCATCGGCGGACTCGCCAAAGAGCAGGGAGTGTCCTTCTGCGCATCCCTCCCTCCCCGCATCCTCCTCCCTTACCCGCTCCCTCATGAGGTGCGTCCACTCAGGTGATGGGCATGTCCTACATCTTATGTCAATGCTGTTCCCAAAGTAACGGGCCGTGAATGTTCACGATGCCTGTTGCTTGGTGGTGGCTCCTAGGTGTGCGCTGGGCTGCTTGTACCATTTCTGGATGGGCCGTGATGCTTCACAGTCGCTCTGCTCTGGGAAGCTGCGCTTGTCAGCCGTGGTGTTTCGTGGAGTTCGTCTTCCCGTGCTTGCGCGTTAATCCATGTCGTTTCGTTGCTCCGCGAGCTGGGGGCACGTGTGTTGCAGCAGAATATGATGCAGCTACGCGATGGCTTGAATCCCTCCCTCCTCCCTCCCTCCTCCCGCTCCCTCCCTCCTCCTCCCCCCGCTCCTCCATCCCTCCCTCTCTGCGTCCTCCCATTCATCCCCTTTCCCTCCTTCCCCCCATCACCCCATCACCCTCCCTCCTCCCATTTCCCCCTCTTCCTCCCTCCTTCCTCCCACCCCCTCACGGGCGGGCACTGTGAGAAAATCCCAAACATGTCAACTGTCTCCTGTCAAACAAATGATAATCTCTTTGTGAAAGCACTGTGTGGGGAATGAAGGAGAGAAGCGAACAAATACAAGAAGCAAGGTAGGAGAAATGAGGAGAAGGAGAAGGAGGCGGAGGAGGAGGAGGAAAGGCCCACGATGACCCGCTCAGAAGTCGGCGTTGAAGTGTCAGAATGACTCCGCGGAAGCAGAATGACGAAGCTACTTTTGTCTCTCTATATACAATCGGATGTGTATATAAGCGCACACGCACAAACATAAATATGTATAGTTATACACACACGTTTGCGATCGGCCACCCAGACGTGGGTGGCGAACGAAAAAATGTGGCGCCACCCGAGGGTGGAGACGAGCATAAGGCGACCCGGCCACACAAATGCGACGGATAGCACAAATGTGCGTTACCCATACACATACATTCACACGTATGACCGAGTACTGGGTCCCTCGTCTCCCCTGTCATAAGCTGGCGGCGCGCACAAGGGTGTAGGGGGAAGGGAGAAGGCTTCTTGGAAGGAGTCTGCTTCGCGCGGGCCCTATGTACATCTGCCGACAAGGCCCGCGCCGTCTAAGGGACAGGGGTTCTTCTGACACGTTTCCTCATCCCCCTGCCCCCCTCTGCGCGTGGCCGAGTAAGGCTAGATATCTTCGCCACTACACTCTGTGTCCTCTTCCACTCCCCCCTGGTGACGGAAAAGGGAGAGGAAGAGGCGGAGGAGGATAGGGAGGGCGGGAGAGGAGAAAGAGGATGAGGACGAGGAGGAGGAGGAGGAGAAGAAGGAGGAGGAGGAGGACGAGGAGGACGAGGAGGACGAGGAGGAGGAGGACGACGAGGAGAACAAGGACAAGAACAAGGACAAGGACGTTGGAGTCATCGTCTGTGCCGCATGGGACATTTGTGGGACCCCTGGGGAAAGATGGATGCAGGCTCCCTGGACCGTCTGCCGTGGGGGCTGCCTGCAGCGAGCGCTCCTCAAGCAAATCCCGAGGGGGCGCTGCCCCCGTCGACAGGGCAGCGGTCCCGTGGCCAGGGAGGCCAAGAGGGAGGCCAAGAGAGACCAGGGAGGCCAGGGAGGCGGCGAGCGAGGAAGGGCAAGTGAGAAGGAGAAGTCCATCTCAGAGGGCGGCGGGACTTCTCAGATGGCCGTGGGGCCTTCTGAGTAGGCCTCCGCGCTTTCGGGGAGAGCTGAAAAAACGTCTCGGAAGCTCGGGGGCACGGCCGAGCCTTCTGAGAAGGCCCGCCCCTTCTCACTGCCCCCTCCGAGCTCGCCGCCGAGCCAGGGCAGGAGGAGGCCAGAGGGCTGGGAGGCCTCCGGGAGCGCTCCAAGGCTGCGCACGAGTGGCTCAGGACGGCCCCAAGACGGCCCAAGAGAACCCCAAGACGACTTCGAGAGGGGTCCCAGAAGGAGAAAGCCACTCTCGAATTCCGAGCTTCCGGCCCAACACATCCCAGGAGGGGCGGGGTCCTGGGGCCAGGGCGGCGAGGCCACCCCGGGGGGGCCTTAGGGGGGCCAGGGGCGACGGCACGGCACGAACCCTCTGCGAGACGAGGTGCTGCCGTGCGAGATCACACCGGTGGGCATGATGATTAGCAGCCCCCATTGGGCCCTCGGTCCGAAAAAGCCCCTGGATTCTCCACCGAGAGCCATGGACGCCACCCCAGCCCTCGGGGGGGGGCTCCACCGAAGACGCCGAACCGCCCACTCGGAAGCCGAGAGGATGCACCAAGGCCCCTGGACCGCCCATGGGCCGAAGGACTTCATGATTCCAGCAGCGGGCAGACCGAGGTCCAACGAGGACCCCAACACGAAGGAGCCCCGAGACGAATCACGTGTTGAAGTAGCACGCAACGTGTCAGCCCGGAAGGCTTTGAACACGAACGTGTTGCGTTCCAACCCGGGCGTCCCAGGCAGGGAAGTTATGCACACTCGATGCGACGTCCCTTATTCGCACACGCCGAATGCCTACTGGGGTGACGCCCCGGGAGCCCGTGATGTGCTCCTTGACATGGTCCTCACTGGCCGTCTTCCCAGCACCCTTCTTGCTGTTCGTGCCACCCATGTTGGTCGGCCTCGACAACCTCCCGGCGGCAAGACCACAGTCACGAGCAGAGACGCAAGCTGAGACACTGCGCACCCGACAGTTTGAGCAGGGACCGACCGTCCCGGCATTCCTACAGGCCTACCACGAAATTGTCTTAGAACCCAAACGTGCTCTAAGAACAAACAATGTTCTTAACACATAAACTTGATGTGTTGAAACAAAACAGTCCCAGCTTAAAATGTCCTAAGAATATTTCGTGCAGACCACAATCGGTTCTTAGAACATTCTTCGGTGGACCTATAGGCGAGCCAGGACGCTCCGTCACTGCTTGAACAGTGAACAAGCCGACCTGGCCAAGGCCCTCTCACCCAAACGCACGGCTCGCTCCGAAAACCATGGGTCCAAGCATGAAGACATGCCCTGGGATACGGTGGGGACATTGGGCCAGGAACCAGTTCATCAGGAACCCAAGGTCTGGAAATCGGTGGAACTCCCCTCGTGGCTTGGCCACGGATATCACCTCCGCACTCGTCAGGCAAGGAAGCCTCCGGGGTCCGAAGCCTCCTGGGCACAGTCCTTCTACTAAACGCCTCCGCTGTACATGCGTGTGCCGCCGGCGTCCGCGGACCTTCCGCCGCCGGAGCCGCCTTCGTTTTACGTTTCTGCCGCCTGCCGCCGGAGAAGAGATGTCAGCTCCTCATCCTCCTCCTCCTCCTCCTCCTCCTCCTCCTCCGCCTCCTCCTCCTCCTCCTACTGCTCCTACCGCTCCTGCTCCTCCTCCTCCTCCTGCTCCTCCTCCCCCTGTCCCCAGGAGACGATGACCTTGCCAGGGCGCCTCAAAACGCAAACCGACGGGGCACGCACGTGGTCCTCGAAGTCCGACCGAGGCTCGGGCCAGCGGCCGCGCAGCTCCCCACAGCACAACCACCGTGCTGGCGGCCCGCCTGTGAGAAAAAACCGGAGGATTGGATATCGATACCCATCGGTCGGAAGGAGTAAGTATAATCAAGGCACTGGAAGTAGATTGGGTTCCATCCTCCCCGTGAGGAGGGCGGAAAAGGTGAAGCCACTCGATCATTGAAGTAGGAAGGAGCCTAAAGTAGATTCGAATCTGGGAATCCAAAAATACGGATGTTCAACGACCGATGGGTAGGCTCCCCGACCTAGATCTGAGCGTAGCGGCCAGGAAACGAAAGCCCCTCCTGAGCCCAGTGGTCTTTGTTTCGGCGTCTCGACTGCAGGGGCGTCGTTTTCTCCGACTTGCCGACTCTGGAACCCCTGGACCCTGGATCACCGACCTTAGAAAAAGAAGCAACATAATAAACATAAACTATCGGCGCTCCGTGCGGATTTCTTGCACCGAGCTGGGCCCCCCCTCCCTCCCTGGAGCGCGCCAGGGGCGGCGCAGGAGGCGCCGCCAGGGGGGTGCCAGCGCAGATCCAAGAAATCCGCGCGGAGCTCGGAAAGTTTATGTTTATGGACTACCTACCAGACCACCCCAACCCAACCCGAAGACCCGAATTTCGGGTTGGGGGGGGTAAGGGTTCCACGCGTGTTTTTTTCAATGTTTCCCGACCCCCCCCCACTAGAAATCGAGGGTAAATCTGAGCCTTCGGGTTGGGTTGGGGTGGTTTGGTAGGTGGTGATTTATGGAGTCCGCCACCGCGCTTGCAGCGGTAGGTGTGTGTGTGTGTGTTTGTGTGTGTGTCGGGTCCTCTCGCTCCTTGTGTACCTGGGGCCCCCCGACGCATCCAGCCCAACATGCCTTCACTTGGGTGACCAGGACCCTGCGGTTTTGGCCTTCCGGGCAGAAGATGTGCCCAAATACGCGGTGGAGGGAGGGAAGATCAATGGATTATTCCCTTCCCCCTGGCGCCACCCCCCCCAGGCGCCCACCCGAGCGCGGTGGCGGAATCGCGCGGCAGCGCCACCAGATTTGCGTTTTTCGGGTCATGTTGACGTCTCGTTTTTTGGCACGGGGGAACCAGGCCCTGAGGGGCGAGTCCTGGACCCCGGTCCTTCCCCCCAAGACGGCATCTTCATCCTGAACCGTTTTCCGACAGCCCTGGGGCCAGTGGAGGGCCCCGAAGGCCCGAAAACGGCGAAAAAGAACCAAGACCAGTTTCCATCTGAACCCGCTTCCCAAATGCTAAATGAGCCAAGATGCACCTCAATGGTATTCACCGACATCTCGATCTCGTCGTAGTCGTCGTCGTCGGCGTCGTCGTCGTCAGCATCGTCATCAGCGTCGACGTCGTCGTCGTCGTCGGCGTCATCGTAGTCACTGTCGTCGTAGTCAACGACGTCGTCAATGTCGGCGTCATCGTCGACGTCGTGATTGTCGTCGTCGACGTCGGCATCGGCGTCGGCGTCGGCGTCGGCGTCGGCGTCGGCGTCGGCGTCGGCATCGGCATCAGCGTCGGCGTCGGCGTCAGCGGCGTCGTCGGCGTCAGCGTCGGCGTCGGCGTCGGCGTCAGCGTCGGCGTCGGCGTCGGCGTCGGCGTCGGCGTCGGCGTCGGCGTCGGCGTCGGCGTCGGCGTCGGAGTCGGCGTCGGCGTCGGCTTCGGCGTCGGCGTCAGCGTCGGCGTCGGCGTCGGAGTCGGCGTCGGCGTCCTCTTCATCATCGTTATCAGTATCCTCGTGGTCGTGGTGGTCGTCGTCGGCGTGGTCATCGTCGTCGTCGTCGTCGTCGTCGGCGTCGGCGTCGGCGTCGGCGTCGGCGACAGCAGCGTTGTTGGCGTCAGCGGCGTCGTCGGCGTCAG